TTTATGCTAGTGGTGAAAAACTTTTTTGTAAAGCATACGAAGTTGTAGTAAATCATGAAAAAAAGTCTACAGTTGATAATTATTTAAAATCAGAAGTGCATATATCAAAAACTCAAAAACCTGTACAATCCACCTCTCACCAAGTTGGAATAGTTCTTTTAGCAAAGTAATGATGTCAAAGCAACTTTTATTAAAGATTTTCTTAACATATTTGTTCAAGCTGATATACCTATTGAAAAAGCTGATTATTTTAAATCATTTTTAAGCCAATATTGTAGAAATAGTAAAGATAATTATATATACAGTATATTTTTAATTGTTTATTTAATTATTAATATAAGTTATATATTTGTTTAATAAATAGGTAGAGTTATTCCTGAACCTGGACAATTACGTAGTAAATATCTTCCTTTGTTATATCAAGAAGAAGAAGCAAAGCTTAAAAATGAATTAAATAATAAAAAAATTTGTATTACAATTGATGAAACTACAGACTCTTGTGGAAGAGCTGTAGTTAATATTTTATTTAGTTTTTTTAATAAAACTAAGTTGGTAAAAACTAGCTTTTTAAATGTTATTAATAATACTACTATATCTCAATTAGTTGTTACTACATTAACATTTTATAATATTTCTTTTAATAATGTGATTTTGTTTATTACATACAATGTCTCTTATATGTTAACAGCATTAAAGTTTTTTCTTCTTTAATTTCCCAATTAAGACATAGTACTTGTTTTGCTCATATTCTTAATTTAGTTGGTGAAACTTGAATTGAATATAAAAATTTCAAATTTCTTGCTCATATAGTTAGTTTAATTAAAACAACTTTTACATATTCTCTAGCTAGAAAAAGAATATGAGTTAGTTTTCTTTTTGCTAATGGTATTTTAAATCCTTTATTACCTCCTTTACCAGTAAAAACCAGGTAGAATTCATGGTTTAATTTTGTGTTTTGGTTAAATAATTACTTTAATTTTTTTATTGAATTTATCAAGAAGAAAAAAAAAATAGAAATAGTAATTCTGCTATTTTAGATCTTGTTGAAATTTTTAAAGATAGTACTTATCTTTTTTTTCTTCAATATATTATGCATTTTATTACTTTTAATATGCAATAGTAAGTAGTTTCTTTTATTTATTATTAATTTTAGTTTAATTACACAGGTCGAAAGATAAAAAATCAGGCACAAATCAGGTACCTGATTTGTGTCTGATTTTTTATCTTTCGACCTGTGTTACTGATAATATTTTTTATTAATTAATAGTTTAGTAAATGATATTGAATTTTTTAAAATTCGTAATAAACCTTTAGCACTATTTCTTGCAACAAGATTAGAATTAACAAGAGCAAGATTATTTTCTGAAGTTGAATTTCTACCTAAATCAAATAAGATGCTAAAACTTTGTAAAGATTTTAATCTTAATTCTACAATCCATGATTTCTTTTTTAAAGAAGTATTTCAACTTGCTTTAGCTAAATTTGATAAATATTTTGATAATAACTCTGCAATTTCAATTTTTACTGCTACTAGATGTTTTGATCCACGCTTTATTCAATTACAACCACACCATCACAATATATTACTCTATAAAGATATCAAAGAGTTTAAACTCCCTACAAATGAATTAATTACAGAATGGAGAATTTATTGTGATTTGAATAAATTATTTGAAGAAGATTTTGATTTGAACAATTATTGGAAAGAAAAACTTGAAATTTTGCTGAATTTATCTAAATTAGTATTAATTTATATTTGGTTGCCAATCTCTGGTGTAGATGTTGAACGTAGCTTTTCAACATATAATAGAATTTTAGCTGATAACAGACAAAATTTGTTTGAAGATTCGATTGGCATGTTAAATTTTTTAAACTTTAATAAATAAATAAAAACTATTATTTGTTTTAAGAAAAATCGCATAATTTATGATTATTTCACATAATTTTGAAAGTATGTGCATCGGGCGCATAATTTGAACCAATCGCATCGCATAATTTGCATTTTATTTCAGATCGCACTGAGGTCCCTATCCGGGATCGTCACATTTTACGTTCTCCGATTGGCCATTTCCTTTTTAGAGGTTTGTATTACCGGCACAAATAAGTGGATGCCCTTAAATATACATGTACATACCATAACAAAAAACATGAGTACCCTAAGTGAAAAATTGTAAATGATAAAAGTTTCACTGTAGCGAGTTTACCTAGAAGAATTGTAATATATGAATATACCTATCTACTCGTATATGTTAATGAAGTGTCATTTATCATCTGATTTTTTTAGCAGGGAGTGGGTGCTATAACTGTATAATAGTCACATATTGTCACGGGCTAAAATGACATCATCGGCAAACAAGTTTATAATTTAGATTGAAGGCTTAGATAATTTGTAATTTATCTCGGTGATAAGCAGATCTCGGCCGATAGAAATTAAGCCACTGTACAATAAGGTGAGTTTTGTTTAAGCCTCATTAGTCCTTTAATGTTATATAAAGGACGTAACTTAGATAAGGTTGGTGACGACACTTATGTACGAGGAAGGGGCACATAAGCTCACTAACCCGATAATAATTCCCTTATATTATACGAACCAAATCACCAACGTCACGCCTCTGGCGAGTTGCCTTATCACATAAAGGTTATATTTTCGTATATAAATTATTGATCATACGATTCACCCCGTAACAATATATAAATGTTTATATACAGTATAATCGTAATCATTTGAGGGAGGGGGAACTTTACTATTTACAAAAAATCAGCTGACTTCCCTTATTGTAATACTGAAATTACCCATCTTTCAGGACCAATAAGCGATGTGCTACGTATAACTTTATATAATTTGTCAGATATAAATTAAGACGTGATATGCAAAATTAATCGTTTACAGCATATTACATATTTTAATCGAATTTTCAGGCTAAGTTCATTAATAAAAGCAGTGTTTCTCTGGTAATACAATTTGTCAAAATGATTCTGAATTACCGCGCATGCGTCTTCCGAAATATCGCATAAATGCGCGCAAATACTGTAATAGAATCATAACGCAACAAAGGAAGAAACTGTAACATGTATGAATTATGACACAAGGGGCGAATGACAATAAATAACGTAAGTAAAAAAACGTGAAGCTAAGGACAGATACGCGATGCAATGTGTAAACTCTAAGCAAAGCCTTAGTGATGTGTTAAAAAAGTATGGTCAAAGTTTCAATCGATCATACTCAAAAGAAACTATAACACAAATTCTAGCAAAAAAAAATTTATAATACAATAGTAAATAAAAACAAATATATGATGTTGAACATTTTGATTTTATATGATAGATATTTATAAACAAATAGCGAGTTTAAAACATCGCTATTGCTATTCCAATTAAGTATAATTTCATTACTTTAATATTATCAAATTATAATATTAAATTGTATTAATATTTTTAGTAATTTTAGTATTCAATTCAAAAGCGATTTGTTCATCTTTTGCTGTGCCTATTCCATTTTCATAGCAATTAGCAAGATTAAGTAGCCCACTAAGGTTTTCATTTTCAGCAGACTTCTTGTACCATTGAAATGCCTTTTGTTCATCTTTAATTGTGCCAATCCCTTTTTCATAACAATACCCAAGATTATTTTGCCCATCTGGATTACCTCCTTCTGCGGATTTTTTATACCATTGAAATGCTTTCTGTTCATTTTTAATAGTTCCAATTCTGTGCTGATAACAATATCCAAGTTCATTTTGTTTTTCGGGGTCTCCATTTCTAGCGGCAATCGTGTAATACTGAAATAACTTTAGCTTTTCTTTCTCAGTAACCTCCATGTCCCATTGTAATGCTTCTTGTTCATTTATTATAGTACCAATTCCATTTTCATAACAATTTTTAAGATTATTCTGCCCACCAATATCTCCTTGTTCAGCAGATCTCATATACCATATGAATGCTTCTTGCTCGTCTTTAGCAATACCAATTCCATATTGATAGCAATATCCAAGACCATTTTGCGCACAAGAATACCCATTTTCCGCAGACTTCTTGTACCATCGGAATGCTTCATTCTCATTTATAGTTGTTCCAATTCCATATTGATAACAATATCCAAGACTATTTTGTCCACGGAAATGTCCGTTTTCTGCCGACTTCTTGTACCATTTGAACGCTTGCTCTTCATTTTTTGCAATTCCAATTCCATATTGATAACAATTTCCAAGTCTATGCTGTGCAAGAGGGTTTTCTCCTTCAGCTGACAAATACCATCGAAATGCTTTTTGTTCATCTTTAGTAGTTCCGATTCCATTTTGATAACAATATCCAAGGTTACATTGTGCTTTAGAATTTCCATTTTCAGCAGATTTTATATACCATTGTATTGCTTTTTCTTCATCTTTAATAACACCAACTCCATTTCGATAGTAATATCCAAGGTAATTTTGCGCATTATAATTTCCACCTTTGGCAGATTTCATGTACCATTGGAATGCCTTTTCTTCATCTTAAGTAGTTCCAACTCCATCTTGATAGCAATTTCCAAGTCTATACTGTGCAAGAGAGTCTCCTTTTTCAGCCGACATCAAATACCATCGAAATGCTTTTTTCTCATCTTTAGTAGTTCCAATTCCATTTTGATAACAATATCCAAGGTTATTTTGTGCTTTAGGACTTTCATTTTCAGCAGATTTTATATACCATTGTATTGTTTTTTTTTCATCTTTGATAACGCCAACTCCATTCTGATAACAATATCCAAGGTTATTTTGCGCATTATAATTTCCGCCTTTGGCAGATTTCATGTACCATTGGAATGCCTTATTTTCATCTTTAGTAGCTCCAATTCCATATTCATAACAGTATCCAACAGTATTTTGCGCATGGTGATTTCCATTTCCTGCGGATTTCGTATAAAATTGGAATGCCTTTTCATTACTTTTAGTTGTTTTTATAAATATTTCCAAAAACATTATATGCAAAAGCTTCTGTAGATTTTGTAATCCTATATATTGGTTTTAAAGATATAATGCTATTTGACTGGCTTTGGATATTGCTTTTGTATTTTTTAGCTTGCTCATACATCTTCTGAGCTTTTCGTTTGTTAACCTTAATACCAATTCCATAGTCGTAAAAAAAGTTGGCTGTCCTTGATGTTTTAATAATTTTTTAAATACTTTATCTGAATTTTCGTTATAATCTTTAATTAAACCTTCAATTTTATTAACAAGCGATTTGGGTTCTTCAGAAATATTTATATGATTAAAGAAAAGTTGCACTAATTGTTGTAAAAACTGCTTATCAGGGTCTTTAATATTATTATCTATATATTCTAGAGTTTTTGAATCATCAAAATTTGATGGTGAAATTGAAATTTCATTAATATTTGATGTTAAATTTAAAGCTTTAGTTGTTGAATTCGATGTTGAACTTAAAACTTCGTATAATTCATGGAAAATTTCAGAATCAGCATCAATTCCATTAGTTAGTCCTTGAATGATGTTGATTATATCTGGTTGGCTATTATTAACATAATCATCAATTTCAATTTCTTCAATAGATATTACGTTATCAATATTTATATTTGCAAGGTTAAACACAATCACATCAATAGTTGGCCGTTGGTTTGGTGTAGATTTCCAGCATTCTAATATCGATAAAGTCATTTATTTTTTACTAACTAAAACAAATAAAATCATACATAAATTATGTTACCTTTATAAATGTTTACATAATCTTTTGGCGTTCCATGAATTGGTTTTTCTTTTAATCCGGAGATAACACGTGAAAGTAAACTGAGCAAGGGTTCAAACTTAAATGGTTCCCTACCACTCGATATTTCCCATAATAGTACACCTAAACCATAAATATCCGATTTCTTAGTTCGACTATAATTTGGAAAACTTTTAAGAAATTCAGGATCTGAATAACATAGTGATCCAATCGCCTTCGTTAATTGAATTGATGGATCTGCAATAAATTTTGAATTTCCAAAGTCACTAAGCTTTACTATTTTATCATGGATGAGTACATTTTCAGAATGCTAATAGAAGAAATTAATATATATAAAAAATAAAAATAAAAATAAAAATATAATTAGGATCAAAATAAAAATGCGATATTAAGTTACCAAATCCCTGTGAATTATATCATGCGAATGTAAAAACTTTATAGCATCGGCTAATTGTTTTGCAAGGTAAAGTTTATCGTCCCAATTTAATACACAAAAGTTATGGTATAAATACTCCTTAAGAGTACCGTTGTTCGCATATTCAAGAACAAGTACAAATCCGTTTGGCTCTAAGAATATATTAATAATATTAGTAATGTAATACCGTCATTTATACCCTGGTCACTATATCAAGATCGCAGGGCATGTAATAGTTACCGTATTTTTGCGAAATAACGGGCATATGCGTTATTTAGAGAATCATGTCCCCTAAAAATAGTATTTTATGCATGGTCGCTCATGAGCGTCCCGAAATGACGCACACCCACATTAGGGTTTCAACAATAATTTGATAACAAACAGGTTTGGGAAAATTTATCTTTGTCTCAAAAGAAGCCCATGTGCGTACTCTAAATAACGCGCACATATTCAAATATCGCGCAGATGGGCGTTATTTCGCGAAAATACGATAAGAATATTTTTTATTACCATCTTCAATAACTCCAAAGAATTTTAAGATATTATTATGTGAACCAATACGAACATGTTGTTTGAGCTGTAAAGATAAAAGATTTGTGGTTAAATTTTGTATTTTATATGGCGAGGGAAAATATTCGTTATTGTAACGTGTTCGCTATAAAAGTTAGTTATATTTAGAGTTTACTGTAGATAATATTAACGAACCTCGTTAACTAGTAATTCTATTGTAAAATCTGGATTAATTTTGATAGATTTCAAGGCTACTTTGCTTTTAACCTTAGAGGATATTGCACTGAAAACTTTTCTGAATGCTCCTTGTCCGATAGGCGTTATATTATTAAATGTATTATAATCGTATTTGATAATTTGATTATTTCTAATGGCATTGTCAAGCCATTCTCTATGTTCACACCTTTGCGCCATTCTTTAAAAAACATTAATTTATGCAGATGAAATGAAAGTATGTGGATTTTAGCGTTACATATGGGTCAATATGCACCCCTATGCAGAAGAGAGAACGCCGTACCCTAAACTTTGACCAAGGACAAGAATCAGGCGTGCATGTTTGAAAAACTTATTAAAGAAATAACCATGAAAATTACCGATTCACAGAACTCGTACAACTCTCATGATTTTCCATCTATGGAAATTCACAATCATACATATTACAAACACTATTACATATCTGGAATAACGCCAAAATTTCGCGTAAACAACCAAAGTATAAATTTGAGAAGCTTTGTTTATTATTCAAATTTTAACAATAATTCAGCATATTATTATTACCAAAAAGCTTTATATAATTATGTAACGAAATGAACGTATACTTATTATTCGAAAAAGTATTTAAACCTACTCATAGTTATTCACGTTGTAAAAATGAGTACGTATTACAAGTATTTTTTATAAATTGCACTAACCTAACACTAACAACAATGACAGAATTACTTTGTCGGTGAAATGAGCAAGTAGACTAGTGGTTACAGAAAAATGTCGAGATCACATGACTGGTGCTCATTTCAAAAAGTCCGATAGAATTTTGTTTCTTCCCTTAATAACATATTTCGAGTGCTAAAGCTGAGTTGTTGTGATTATTGTATTACATATTTTGATGCGCACATATATCATTGATCGCGTGATCTCGACATTTTTCTGCCACCACTAGCAGTGTTTGCATCAGTGCCAGGGACGATGATTTTCTGTGATTCAAGAAAACAGCAGAATTTCTCTTAATCACAGCCAACCACAGAAATCACACTTAGTCACAGAATTCCAAAAAAATACGCAGAATATCACAGAATTCAAAATATATCGCAGGATCTGGCCATAAATTCAAGCAGACGTCGGGAAATACCGTAAAGGTAGACAATAAATCAACGTAAATTACGACGGAATTGGTTGGTTTGAAAAAATTTATAATCGCATTAGATCACAGAAATTACAATATGATACCACAGAATTGCAAAGAAATTATAAATGTTACTACAGAATTAGATAAAATTTTTATCACATTAAATCACAGAATTTGTCTTAACCACACACAGAATTTAGTCTTAACCACCACAGAAAATCATCGTCCCTGATCAGTGCCTAAAATCTATTATAAAATTTCTGTGATTTTCGGCAAAATTGGAAATGAACGCTGCCAAAATCCAACAAATTTGGCCCAAATTAGCATAGCGATCATTCCCATTTTTGTTGAAAATCGCAGAAATTTTATAATAGATTTTAGGCACTGGTTTGCATTTATTTTATTTGGACTTGGACAAATATGGACATGGACTAATCCAAATAGTGTCCATGTCCATATCATTTTTTTTGAAATTTTCAGAAATTTTCAGAATTTAACTGGAACATTTCGGAACAGAAGTTTACATGTTTGATTTTGACTAAGTGCCCTATGCCCAATGAAAAAATATGGTCAATATGGACATAGTCCATAAATGTCCATGTCCATTGGTCCATATTGTCCATGTCTATATTTTGCAAACACTGACCTAGTGCTTGGACCCGTGAACCCCTTATCCGGATATCCGCACGGTTAACCGTATATCCGGATGTTATAAATGTCTCACAAATGGTAACCGTCATCTGTCAATCTTAAATGGATAGCCTAGCAGGTATCCACGGGTATCTGCAGTATACTCCCCTGACATAAGTCACTGGATTTTTTTGGTAACGTATGACGATCATTTTTTTTTGCAGGTTTTTGATTTGCAAATTCTCAACAAACTACATATT